GGAAACCCACACCCCCGATGATGCTTGTAACCTCCCCCCCCCCCCCAAAGAGAGCAAATTTTGTGGGGTTTAGATTCGGTTTAGCAGGTCCTCCCACAGCTTTGGCACTTGCGGTGGGCGTCGGCCCTGCTCACTCGGCGGGAGCTCCTGGGACTTGCTTTCGGCGTGTAAACTTGTAGCTCAAAAACCTTGTGGGATATAATACCAGCAGGTTATACTATAAAAGGCAGACTAGTTTAAAAACTGGTAGAATTATAAGGCAGACTAGGAACGCAGGCATTTTGGGCTTGGGCTATGTCTTATGCACCTTAGTTTCCACACCCCTCCACACAACAAGCCTTGGCAATGAACACCTGCGCACCCTAAACCCAAAAGTCCTACAAACACAAACCGTTGATGCACCTTTCTTTTCGAACCAGATGCTAGAAGTATGCGTGGAACTGAGATTCATGCTCATGGGCAAATCTCAAAGCCCCATAGCCCCAAAAGGATAGAACCCTAAACCCTATAAACCCTAAACCGAAAGGACCCCACAAAGATCCTATAAACCTGGGACTGCGGAGAAATGGTGTTGCTATGTATTGCTAGCCCCCTCGCCAAGACTCTTCAAGCAACAACCCAACAACCTGTAGATTGGTTGACTCGGCTACATGTATGTGCGCTTCAAACTAGCCAGTGCATATAACAGATGGTCGTAAGCCCAAAGAGAGCAACGTTCCATATCATGGGCATCTGGGTTTCCAGGGCTGTGTCGGCGCAGCACCAAAAACTGAAACCCAAAAATCCCCAAACCTCCACCCTACTCCCTAACCCTAAACCCTAAACCCCAAATCCCTAGCCTCGACCCCACACCCCAAATCCCCAGCCCTTAGCGGGCCAAGCCTCGACCGGCTCCCCCGTGGCCGGTGGCTCCTGAAAAGGACACACCGACTGCTTCCAGAGTTGGGGGAGCCTTAGCAACTAGAATAGGGTTTTGGGATTCGGATATATGATACTGTACCTATAATGGGGAACCCTTGGAATAGTGTTGGTACTTATTTAGGCTCCTATACTTCGGCGATTCCTTCGGCTTCGCGTGAAGCTGGGGCTAGAGAGGCCCAAACCGCAGGGCTTAATTCCGGCCCAATCGGAAGCAGCTCGCAGCCGGGCCAACATCAACAAATTGAAAGCTTCCCCTAAACCCTAAACCCTAAACCCTAAACCCTATTCAGGGTGTAGGGTTACCAGGCCAAGCTGGGCCCTCTTGAGGTTCCCAGAGAACCCAATACACCTTAATTAAGGAATATACCTTAAACGGTTTAAGGTTTAAGGTTTAGGGTTTAGGGTTTAGGGTTTAGGGTTAGGGGTCTTAATCATATGATTTAAGGTATATTCCTTAATCACGGGGTATTGGGTTCTCTGGGTTTTGGGATGAGATGCAAGAGGTGCTTCTCTTCAGCGTATTCTCCGAGGGAAGAACCTTGGAAACACCAGAAACTCCTTGAAGCACCTGTTTCACCCTCAACCCTTAGCCTACCTGTCTCTAACCCAACGTTTCAGCCCTCCACCCTCTTACCTTAACATCCCAGTGAAGCTTAAGGAAGCTCCTGCCTTAGGTATGCAGGTCCTGCTCCGTAAAATACTTCAAAGAAACACCCAAAAACTGTTAAATAGTGGCCTCAACAATTACCTATATTATGTTGGGGGGTTTCCTTATTATAACAATACTATAGAGGAACCCAAGACCACATTCTAACTATTAAGGCCCCTACCTTAGACTTACTCGTTCTTCAGGCTCCGGTTCGAGAAAGAAAGTGCCTCGACTGCGTCCCCGGGTTCTGCAGGCTCCTGCCACGATGCTTCTGAGCCCGGGGTTCTCGTCCCAGAGCAGAACCCAGAGAACCCAATACACCTTAATTAAGGAATATACCTTAAATCATAATATTAAGACCCCTATAATTTAAGGTATATTCCTTAATTAAGGTGTATTGGGTTCTCTGCCCTGGGGCTCCGGGCCCTCATATT